TTACTAACCTTCAGTCACAGGTGGTGAGGGCCTGTGGCTCTTGCATTTTTTATTCCTTCATGCAGGGAGGAAAAGACTCTAAGAGGTAGTATTATTAAAAAAGTTAATCCTTAAAGCATACTCACTGCGAAAGCAGAATTGATGTTGACAATGTCTTGAAGAAGAAATAGACGTTACTACGACAGTATGTAAACCTAAGTTGACGTAAAAGATACATGCCATCTAGTTTTTATGGGATTTAGTATTTTCTAAGATCTTATGAAAAGATCTTCTGTCTTAGCCAAAAATAAAATGTACCAACAAAAACCCCACAACATACATGCGCAAATACAAAAATGTAACAAAGATATGTATTGTATTGAGTATATTTACCAATCGGAATGATCGAAGCACTGATAATCCTTCTACATTTGCAAGGCCAAGCTCCATTAAACTAAGACTTACAATAAAACCATCAAAAATATTCCATCCCTCTTGGAAATAATAATAAGGATCCATGGCAATTATCTTGAGAAACATTTCTGCTGTAAAAATTCCAGTAAATACCTGCAAGGAAAATAGTTTCTTACTCCAGTTTAATGAGAAAAAATTTAAACCCCCAAATTAACAGCATCAACTTCTGGTAAGTTACATCTTCAGCAAGCAATCCATGATAAATCTGAATAGCTTCTCTATATTGCCATATATTAGGGTTAGGAATTATACTCAGTTTTGAAGATTACATATGCATTACAATGTATTGTTTCCAAAGAAAAAGAGGTAATTGAGAAAAATGTGGGGTTTTTCTACCCTAGTAATATGCATATATAAATACCACTATGCAGAATCTCTTTTGATTTTAATGCTCAGTTTTTCCTCCTTAGATCTCATCTTTGCCCTTGGGACATCTTTTTGCTTCTAGGGATATAGATATTACTAAGATTAAGAATGGTACTGAAAATTTAGCAGACCTATTCTTCTCCAGGATGACCTGCAGAAGGCACTGTCACGCCAGTTCACCATATCCTGCGGAGTTTCAGCACATCTGCCAGTGTTACTGGGTCTTTTCCCTCTACAATTCCCTGAACACTGAGGAACTCATGAGGTGCTAATGAGGGGTGGAACAGTTGTGTGAATGGAACTGAAGGTTCTTAAGATTTCTAAGTGTCCATGCAAGAAAAAAATATTAGATACATCAATTTGACCAGCTTCAATGACAAAACTTGAAGGTTTTAAAAGTCAAAATTCATACTGACTCAATAAATCTTCCTATCTTTTCTTCCATAATGCAACATATGTACATATGAAAAATTATTTAAGAAAGACTTACAAGGTTTCCTACTGAAAGCACACCGCTAAACTGTTCTGTCATTGGGTAGTGCTCCATGGCCATGAACAGGGTGTTTAGGACAATGCAGATAGTAATGGCCAGATCGACAAATGGGTCCATCACAATCAGATTTACAATATGCTTGATTTTCAGCCAGGGAGTACAGCAGTCCCAAATCAAGCAAGTGTTAGCAAATTTATACCAGCACGGGGGGCATTTCTGTCTGGATTCTTCCAGTTCTGGAGAGAAAGACGAAAATATTAATGTAAACATACTTTTCTGTTCCAGTATCACCTGGGTATTTCCAACCAATAACAAAATGGTTTATTCTATGATTCTATACACAGAATGAAAAAATATTTAAATTCTTCCTCATGAAAAACAAAAATTTAGAACAAACCTGAAGTTATACAACTATTTAGACAGTATTACGCTCCACATGTGTAAAACTATCATTATTACCTTCCTGTTTGCTATTTTGGGCATAGTAATTTAAGCCTCAAAGTAATGTTTTGCCCTTTCTTACGGGTAGTTGCTTAATTCCATGATTCAGATTAATTATATTTAGCCTTACAGAAAGAACAATATGATGCTTCTTTGTGAAACAGCGTGTCTTGTTGAATTCTTAGAAGGGGTTTGTACTGTGAGAAGCATAGCCATTTCGGTAATCTAAGAAAAGTTTTTACCACAAATCAAATATATCCGTCCATCTTTAAAAAAACCCACAAACTACCTCCATATACAAAATCTCATGTTGCCTGTATCCTTTAGGCTGAGTGAGCTGCTTTAAAATACCACTGCTACTTAATGTAGTGGATATTTAATAGCACTTGAAGGCATTACCACACAAAAATTCTGTGTTACCTACCTTCCATTGTGTTTGTCAGCATGCTGGCTATACTCATCGCTCTTTGCCGCGCACTGGGATCCGTTAGGTAGTCCATAGGAACATGGTAAGAACTAGATCGTCTCTTTCTTAAGTCAGTTTCTGTAGTAGTGCCCTGAAAGTAAAACACTGATAAAATAGCCTATTGATCGTTAATTTAATAAGAATAAGACTTGAAATTATTATACTTCTAAAATAACTTTCAACACACTGCTATTTGCATATAGCAAATAGTCAAATTGATCAGTGGGACTGCTCTTGTGCTTAAATAATATGTTTTAGGTATTTTGCTGAAACAGGGATAAGACATTAAAACACATTTTAGACTATAAAAAGTTCCACAATGCTCATCAATGAGCTTTGCTGTCAATATCTAATTAGGCAGTGAAGTCTTTTTCTAAACATGAAAATGCACAGCCCACACAGCTAGTAGTAAAAACGCAAAGAGGTAGTGTATTTTCTTAATACAACCCTCAATTTAGAATAAATTATCAATTTTCTAGCACATATTATCATATTATCAAACAAAAGAAAACATATTTAATAATGTGACATCTAAAAAAACACTCTAGAAAAATTAACTATGTTACAGGAACACTATCGCAACCCACGTAAGTTGTACTATCAGTGTTAGATGGAGAGTTTCCTATGTGGTCAGCGGGGAGTTAAATACTCATTTAATATATTCCATTAAGTAAATATAATTATGATTTGTTTTATTTTGATATCTGATATAAGAATACAGAATCTTCCAGTTAAGTCTTCAGTCACCATAATGAATCAATGGTGTAATAATACACATAATACATTTATGCAATAGTTTACTCTGTTACTAATTCCCAGTAAATTAGCATGTACTTTCACATACTATGTTAATTAGAGCTTGATAATTTCAGTTTCTACTTAAGCTCATAGCTGGAATATATGAAAGGAGCATACACAGCTTGGCCAGAAAGGGAATCATTCCCAAGTGACTAAATTTGGCAGAAACAGTAGCTGATCACACACGGAGAGGACATCATGCCTGAGCTATTGCAGACTTCCTTACATTGCTAGCAGTGGCTGCTTTATCAATCATCACCTCTGGCAGAAGCTGTCCAGTAGGTGACATCAAAGCTGGTGGCCCACCGACTAGAGAAACTACTCCATTGCAATCCACGGTGCTGTGCATCTTCCCGTTTGCTGGAAGTGGAGGTACTGTCCTGGATGACCTACTGGCCTGACTAATGTTACTGTTGCGCCGTTCACCGTGTCTATGAGGAACAAAAAGAGAATCTCTTCTGCTCTCGTTGTCTTCAAAAGTGCTGTGCTCGTCATCGGCAAAGTCATTTTCTGATCCTACATCCTTTGCTCGACCTCTGAAGCTGAAAAGGCTTGTTCTGCTGTTGCGCCTTGGGGAAAACAGGGAGCCGCGAATGCTCAGCAAAGACTGTAGGCAAATAAAAACAGTGATGATCAGATGAAAATCCTTTTAAATACAATGTTTTCGTACAGAGGAAAAAACCACAGAGTTAACATGTCTTAAAGGGTAAGGTCATCTACAAAGAAACGAACTGGCACAGCCCCCCCCGCAATACACGCCCTTTTGGGTAGTAAACAAAGAGCACATAAGTGACAGACAAAGACTAGTTATTTTACTACTTGGGATATACGAACTCAGTTGGTTTAATTGGAGTAAAAGAAACTGCTGACAGAACTGTTTCCTCTGCTATTCTGCCTGTTTTATTACCAACTGTTCATAAACTGAGTAAGCACATGTATATACTATTTACTCCAGGTTGGCATTAGTCTGACAGGCTGAGTAAATAAAAGTTTAGGCAAATTTCCTGCATCTCAGTCTGCACAGAAAGTAGCTCCCAAATGCCTCCTATCTTAAAAAACATACATTTTTTTTTCAGATGCTAGTCAAGTAGGTTTTTATTTCCTTGTTGAGACTTTAGCTACCTTGACTATGCAAAGATATGCCTGTAATTTTGTAGGAGCAGTCACACTAATGTTCATCCATTTACTCATGTGAGTAAATGTTCTGCTATGGGAGAATCTTTTCAGGATTAGAGTCAAAGTAATGCTCTGATCCTGCAAATAATTATTCGTGTTCTAAACTTTAATTCATATTGGTGATTACCATTAGCACCTGATTTCACCTAAGACTTCTACGAGCAGCAGAAATGATACATAACAAAGCAGTGTCTGTGTTTCTCTTCTGCAACTTGTCTTTATGGACCTGAGCCCCATTGTTCTAAGTACTGCAAAATGCAGAACAAAAAGGCACTCTGCGAAGAACTTATCATCTAAGCTAACACAACAGATGAATACAAAAAGAGAGGGAATACAAGGAGGCAAAATTGATGGGTATGATAAACAGTGGTCTTAGCTCACCTGAAGTCACTTCCCTGTCAAGCTTTCTGTAGGCAGCATGGTAAAAGAGAGTTTTAAAGAGGGATTTGAGGAAAGCAATGAAGTGTTCAGTGGAAACTCACGGGAGCTTCTCCCTAGCATGAGGGGCAGCATATCAGAAAGAGCTCAAAGAAACTAGTTTGAAAATTTAACAGGAAGTTATGGATGCTGGCAAGGGTCAGTCAAAGCTGGGACTTGACTGGTTTACACTTAATTGGACAAGGTGGGTTGGGAGGAACTTTAGGCATAGTTATGTTTTATGATATTAAAAAATATCTTTAGGTAGATATGTTTAGTAGTAGATTAGGTAAAAGCAATGAGACAGCGTAGTGCTCTTTGCAGCAACATTCTTAATGAACACAGCAGTATCTGGGACATGGAAAAAGGACCAAGTTAAAAAATTATTCACAATTGTGGGTCCAGAGTTGAGTTTAAAAAAAAATAAAAGAAAGAAAGAAAAAGAAAGAGAAGGGAACTAGGAAAAGGCCTCATGGAAATCCCTTAAAAAACTGTCAAAAGTCTAGAATGATCTTCTAGAGCACAACTAAACCAGGAGAATTGAGAGGAAATGAAATCATGAATGTTAGGAAGAGCAAGTTTTCAAGGAGAACATAATGGTCAGCTACGCTGAAGGCATGTGAAATGTCTAGGAAAATGTCAAAGATGAGATAGAAACCTGAGTTTTATCCAAGAAAATATTATTAAGAACTGGTGAGTACAATTTCTGTTTAGCAGCTAGAACTCGGAGTGCAGGGGAACTAGGGTTGGAAAACCAGAGGGGAGGGGATTACTATAGTGTCAGAGTATCCAGCTGTAAATGAACTTGGAGATGAAAAGGTAAAAGCAGCAAGTTGTATGAGGAGTGCTTCATTTCTTACAAGATGGATGAATTGAGTTGCAGTTGAACAAGGCTGCATTTTGAATGAAGACACAAGCAAGAATATGCACCTAAGGGATCATCTGGATCTTCAACGTAAAGTTGAAGTCAATGGATATAGGTGTGAAAATTTGTATAAGGAACAGAATGAATCATGAACTAACTAAATTCAGAATGAAGTCTTACGTAGATTAGTTAGTTAACAACATAAAAGGTGGCAGACGGGGGGGGCGGGGGGATGCAGTATTGTTAAAAAAGGAAGTACATTAGGAAGTAAGTGGAAGGAGGAGTTAACTTGGCAGAAATAGGAAGCTAGAAGCATATTCCCACCACAGTCTGATCTAAGGAGGACAGTCCTTAGTAAGAAAATATTGGATGAAGAGGTCTGAGCTTCTTTGAGAATGGGAGCTGAAGAAAGAAATACATGAAGAGAATATGAATGCTCGTGATCTATTTAGGAATGAAACAGGCTTTCCAGAGACAGTAATAGAAGAGGATTCAAAGGAAGGAATGAGTTTAACAACAGTGACTAAAATCAGGGAGAAAACAAGTCAAAGATCAGGGAGAATCGAGAAGGTTGGGATAGAAGGAAGAAGCATATTGAGGTAGACAAAGGGGCAGAAAAGGGACAGAATGGAAGTGAGATCTGGACTTGAAGTGCTAAGGGAAGAGTCAGGTGCAAAAATGAAGAGAAGTTCTGAGAACTGCAGAAGGGACGACATAACAAAAGTATCAAATGAAATAAACATCTGGATGGGAGATGCAGATGGCACTGAGTCACTGGTGTATCAATGTAAGAGAACACATGCAAGGACATATTGCTACACATTTCCATGTTTTTTTAAAAGAACACAATTAATGGTCTCACATCAATTAATGGTCTCACATCACTGAATTTGTCCAATTTCACATGAATATTTACGCAATTTCTACTGAGGTTTTTTTGCATCCCAAATTTTAGTACTTTTCTCATTTAAAATGTGAAATTCCTTTGTATGCGTGCACGAAATTTTGAGCCACGGATCAGGCTCAATACAACCATCTTGATGGGGAGATAGGTCCATTTCCATTAGGAAACTTGAAATACACCTGATTTCAATTAATACACATTTTTTTGATTTTCTACACATATATTTAGAATAAAACCAAAATCTCTCAAATTCTTAGTTTCATCTTTGGCTGCAAGTATTAACTTGGTCATACTTTGATTTAAGATATAATGAATCTGTGATATTTTTTACAAGGATTGACCAAACTACTTTACAGGGGTTTGTTTATACGATGCATACACAACAAAGTTGTTTAAGAGGTAATAATACTATGGTACCTGGTGTGGGGAAGAGAATCTCTTTTCGTATGTCAGTCTATTCCCCTCAATGGAAAATCGGAAACCTTTCCTTTTGATGCTGTCCTCTGATTCAGATTTGTGAAATTCTTCTCCATCCTTCTCCTCGCCTTCAGATTGCTCTTTTTGCTTTTTTTTCTTTCTTCTATTCCTCCTCTCTTTAGCACTCTTGGAGCTCAGTTTTGATGCCTCAGAAGAACTTTCGGAGAATCCACCTATTCCACCTACTCCACTATAATCTCTTGAGTCAGCTGCTGCAGCTGCTGCTGCTGCCTACACGTACAAGCACATATGCAATTTACAACATTTATGCAAACACACACCACTCACCATTTTTAATTTATTGCCATTCTTAAAAAAAATAATGCTTAAGAAATAAAGACAGTGATCTCACTTCACTGAACCCAGCATAAGAAGTATAATGTGCGAAACACCACGGGAACCATAATTTGCCACGGCTCCATAAACCAGGAGTTAGAGCAGCCCAAGGGAAAACTGTGCTGTCAGAGAACCAAGAGCATCTGTTTTCGATTGGAGCAATATGTTGCAATCAATTTTTCACCTGAAATACTATGTAAAAGTAAGGAATCAAGGCTCAAACAACGGGAAAGATCCCTGTTAACCTGAAGCAAACTTTTTTATACCATTTTGCTGGATTTTGAATACTCTCTAGTCTATTCGATCTGGCGTAACATTTTTTTTATTTCAGTTTTGCAAATCAGAGATTTCCATTAAACTGCAGGCTATTAGAGACCTGTTGCTGTCTGAAGTTTCAAACATTTGTGGAGCATTTATTTATTTACAAATTGTGGTGAAAAACCTCTACCAAACTAACTAAAAGCCTCCATTGCTGACTTTAGGCATGTGCTTACATTGAAAACATAGTTCAACTTCTGCTTCATGTGGCCACATGCCAAGCACACATTATCAATAATCCTATTAAAGATTTTTGGGTCTTCAAAAATTAAAGAGAATTTCAAAGCTCATGTAATCATGATGTCTTTACCACAAAACTGCCTCCTCCAGTTTCTCCATTATTTCTTTAAAACTGCAACAGTATGGCTTTCTATTGTGAGAGCTGGGGAAGGGGTAGAAAAGGCCAAGGGTTGCTGAAGCAAAATATTTCTCCAACAGCACCTATAGTAGTTTTGCTTCTGCTACTTAAATAAGAAGAAATGCTGGTGTTTTTTCTCCTCACAACTCCATCTTAATTTCACAGAATGGTTGAGGTTGGACAGGAACCTCTTGAGGTCATCACATCCAACTGCCTGGCACAGACAGGGTCACCTAAAATAAGTTGTCCAGGACCATGTCCAGACGGCTTTTCATTATCTCCAAGGATGGTGATTCCACAAGCACTCTGAGCAACTTGAACAAGTGCTCAGTGAAAAAGTTAATTTCCATCTCTAACTTGAAAATGTAGTATTTTAGTTTATTGGGTATTGGTTTTGTCCCAAATTAACAGGTTCACTCGAGCCAGCAAAAAAGTGCAATGGAAAATGTAAACAACTCTTTGCAAAACAAAGGGGTTGATATTTATTATAAGACTGAAGGTAATATATTGTTAGAAGTACAGGAGTAAAAGCATTCTTATATGTGTATATAAAGCATCTGATCACAATCGTGAATGGAAGAAAGAATTTTATTTTACAGGGATGGGATACCTGAGCTTCTTCCTGTTGTTTTTTCAGTTGTTCCAGCATTTGCTGAAATTCTGCTTCTTTCTGTTCTGCTTCTTCCATGGTTGCTTGATTCTGTTCTTCATAGGCCATGGCAACCACAGCCAGGATCAAGTTAATCAGGTAGAAAGAGCCCAGGAAAATTACCAAAACAAAAAATATCATGTATGTTTTCCCAGCAGCCCGCAGTGTCTGGAGAAAAAAAAGATAATACACATTTTTAGCAGACTTTTAAATACTGTTGGCAACATCCGTGTTATAATCTAGAAATACATTAGGAGATTGCTTTGTGTTAGCCCAAGATGATTTGGGTACTTTTTCCGTGTAGAAATAGCATTATATCCTGGGTACATGCAGTATGTCTACTATGGCCAAGGCAAGTAAGATTCCATAGCTTGAATACTTCAGAAATTATACCAATGAGAAACTGTAGTAGCAGTTGCTGTCCCCACTGTATGTCTATATTAGAGCCTTTAAATCGAACAGTAATGGGGCCACTAACCACTATCTTACCTTCTTGTATCATGTATCATAGAATGGCCTAGGCTGGAAGGGACCTTGGAGATCATTTTAATCCAGCCTCCCTGTCCTGGGCAGGGACGCCTCTCAACTAGATCAGGCGACACATGGGGACCCAAACTACCACGCCACCAAGACACTGCAGTACACAAAATGTTATGTACACAACATCACCGTCCTTCAGGTTAAAGATACGTGTAGTTCAGGGGCAAGATGTAACCTTTTCAAAGACAACATTAATTGCACTAGACTGCAAATCAATTTAACTTGCATCTACTTAGAGCATGTTTGGGTAAGAAGTTTATTTACTCATTTGTGAAAAGAAACAATAATGCTTAACTATTTTCATAAAATAGCAGCTATTTCTTGTTATGTATTTGAGTAGCACACGGGAACCTAAATCATGAACAAGGGCCTTATTGTTTTTACATATATGAAATAGATGATGATCTCTTTCCCAAAGGCCTTAAGGACAAGTGAATGAAAATAACTATGCAAGTACTATGTAATAATGGTATTGGTGATGGTGCTGTTTATTTTAATAAGTCCTCACCAGCTGGTAAAGATTCTCCCAAAAGTCCTGAGTCATCAATCGAAACAGTGACAAGAATGCCCAACTGAATGTATCAAAACTTGTGTAGCCATAGTTGGGGTTTCTACCAGCTTTCACACATATATATCCTTCTGGACATTGACTACAAAAGAAGAGGAAATGCTATTTTTAACAACTACTCTAAATTATGATATGCTATAGTAAATCACAAAATTGTTCAGGAGTACCAGTTGCTAATGAAATAATGAACAAGTAAAATTTTATTCTACATGCCTAAGATAAAAACATTTATCTTATTGGTTTTCAATTTTTAATTCCATTTCCTAAAGATATTTCAATGCTTCAATAATATAACTGATAATAATTTACCCTTCCCCACAATTTGTCATATCAACACATCTCCACTAGGACAAGAGAAAAATGTCAATTAGCATGGCTGGTAACAAACAGCTGTCACAAGCTGGCAGCAACATTTACACACATAGTATTTGAGGGGTTACCTTTACAAAATTAGCCTAAAGTGCTGATGAAAGAGCCTGTGTAAACTCAAATCACATAGATGGTTAGATTTAAGTATAGCTTCAGTTGCAAAACATCAGTAACGTGCAACTCTACAGTACAGCTGATACTGAAGTTGACCACCTGATTCTAAGTAGCTATTTTTTCTTGATATATAATGAAAAATTAAGACCACTTTCTTACCCTGCATCTGAGCTATTGCCACACAGCAGAGCATCGTTTTGCCCTTCCAAGAAGTAGAAATGACCTGTTTTTTTAAAAAAAAATAAAATAAATAAAAGGTGATGAGAAAGACATTATTTATACCTAATGAAATTGAGCAATGATATAGATATTTACAGTTTAAAGAAATAACCAGAGCTAACAGTTTAACTGCAATATATAATGATTAAGAATGAAAAAAGCACGGAAAGTACTGTTTTGACAGGAAAATTACTTCTGTAGAGCCTTGAAGTTGGCCTTTCTCTGGAAAATGAAGGGGTAGCTGTACAGTTAATTCTCAATAATCTACCCAAATGAATAAGATAAAATGGGTGGAACACCAAATTGCGTATGTCAGCAAATGAGTGAACAAGTACCAGAAAAACAAGACAAAGGATGAGGGTGATTCCCTGCCTTTGCTCATGCATTTTGATATATACCATTTAGTGGTTTTAATTTATAATTATTCATTACATACTATTTTATCCAAATATTATTTGAAAAAGTACTTATTTTTTTTCAGCATGAAAACATATCTTGCACAAGAAATTGCTAACTGGATCTTGACTTGAGCAGTAAAGGGAGAAACCAAGCTTTTATTATACATAACAAAAAATTACTATACAAAATTCTATAGCAAAGGAATGCAGTTGAAGTATCTAGATCTATTTTGCTGATAGGCTAACTATTAAAATGAGGTGAAATATAAATTAAAGAGCAGGAAGTCTTAAAAGCCCACAGCACATTCGTTTCTTTGTTCCTCTTTGAGGCAGAAAGGGAAAACCAATTTGCCATCAATTCCTAGTTTGGGATTCTTAGGGGAAAATTAAAATCTCCAGTGGAGATTTTTGGGTCAGGTGGCGTATTAAGCTAAAGTTGCCAAAAATAGGTGTGTTCTGGCTGTTCCCAGGAAGCAGATGGTTTCTTGAGATTCACTGCCAGCTGGCATGGACTCACTTAGCTGGCGTGAACTAACCACGGGCTGATGCTAAAGAGACAAGCAGGGAACTGCAACCAGTTCCTATCGACTGCTGCTGCTCTGTCACCACCAGCACACAACAGAGACAGCACAAAACTTGTGCATAATTTATGCATCTGCAATCTGTGCTCAGATATTAGATAAGAAAACAGTGCATTTGCAGACATTCCAGTGCCCACATAATCATGGCCTTTGAGAGATCTAACCCTACTTAAAAAGCTTAAAAAGTTTAAAGATACAGATAGGCTCCAAGATGGATTTTTGAAACTGTCTGTGAGCCCAATTAACATTCTAATGTGACACAGCTCCTCCTCTGGTAAGCAGAGGATCCAGTCAAACCATTCAGACAGCTCAACTCTTGGCCCACTATTTTGGAAAACATTTTTCAATACAAAGGTTATAGTGATTAAGTAATAAAAATAGACAATATCATATAAAAAAATCATGCCATATATGAAACTATTCCTGTGTCCTGCCAACTTAATAACAGGACAACAGTCACGGGTACAAGTCCTACGTGACACTTTCATAAGCAAATAAAGGAGATATGTTCTGGCTGGAATCATAACAAAATATTTGAAAAAAGGCTCTGAGAACAGCTGCCAGTGGGCAATGTCAATGCAAAAGGGCATCTTTCTGAAGATCCTCCAGGGATCTGTGCTATACACGGTTTGCACAGCAAGTTTCATTACCAACTCAGGACTTAAAATAATAGAAAGAATGCATCAAATATTCTGAAGACATCAAGCTAGGAGAGATGATTGAAATTTAGAATGACCTTTACAAACTGACAAGCTGATCCAAAAGCAATTGGATTTATTTCAAAAGAGACCAGTGGAAAATGTTACAGCTGACAAGGCAAAATCACTGGGAATCGGTGATATGGTGCTGATATAAAAATTATGTAATCTTGAGATGTGTTAATAGGAATGTTGCATATATGGCACACGAGGGAATTACTTCTGATTTGTAGTGTTATTAGAGGAGTAAGTACCAGGTTTGAGCATCTTGTCTAAAAACAAACAAACAAAAACCTCAAAGAACAAAAACCTTAACCAAAAAAAAACCACAAAAACCCCTCAACCAAACAAAGAAAAAAATCCCAGACTAACCCAGACTAATCTGAAAGAGTCCAAAAAAGAAAAGAAAAAAAGCGAAAATAGGTATAGAAAATGCAAAACAGAAAATAGGATTGCCTGGTTTAGAAAAGACCAGAAATAAAGAAGATAACAGGTTTAAAATATCATAAAGACTAATATAAAGTAGTCTACGATTATCTTATTTCTAAATCCATGGGAGAAGTAGTAATGTATTCAATATGAAATTAGGAAAATTTAGGTCAGATATTTAGAAGAAACTTTCTATTTGTGCCATGTTCGTACCAGAAGCAGCTAAAGGGGAATGGAATTTGTTCTTCAGATGATTTTAAGAATAGGTTATCATCCCAAATCTTCTCCAAGATTACATTTTTATCATACTACAAGCATGCTGAGACGATAAGTATATTAAAAGATTATAAGGCAATGAGACTTGAGTCCAAAAGCATTTAGCTGTTAAACGACAGTTTCCCAGCGCTCAGTGATACAGGCATCAGTTAAAACATTTATACAGACTTCATAAAAAATCGCCTAAGATTATGCCCAATTACAAAGTTAAACCACTAAATACCTTAAAATAAACGAGGGATAGAATAGTAAATAGGTGAGACTGAAGCTATTTACCATGATGAAATAGCAATCTACTATAGATATGTTCACAGTTGCTCTACCTAGATTTCAAACAGTATTGGTGTGGAGACACGCACCAAGTTCCAGAAGAAACAAGGCAGCCGCATTTGCAATGCTGTGGCAGGATTCATGAGCTAACTGACATTCACATGTGGATTTAAGATACTGGGCATTATCTTGCAGTCATATAGCTACACAATTTCAGATCCCACATTAGGACTCTCACACTATTTCAGTAGGCTTGAAGCTAGCATGGAAACTTCTGCTTTGTGCCACAGTGTGGACTTACTCTAAAAGTCATATTCAGAAAAAGGTAAAATGATATTTTGGTACCCCATAAAATCCTATTAGAATGTTAAGAGTACATTATGACTGTTCTTTTATTTACTGCACAAAATGTGTACTTTTACATCTATTGGCCAGATTACACCATTTTAAATGCAATGGAAAGATACTGATGCTTTTGTGTTTAAAAAATAATAATCCAGAAAATCAATGCAGTAAATCATAAATTAACTCTTACTTCTGTCTTCGATGTACTCATCCCAGTTAAATGTTGTCATGGTTGCATTAATAAATGTACCATTTTCACCTATGGAGCTATTAAAGTAGGAAATGACAGTTGTTTCAAAAGTAGAATTGTCTGGAGGCCACTGCAGGCATTTGTTCCTCAAGTTGCCCATGAACAGCTGCAGCCCTATTAGTGCAAATACACTCAGACAAAACACAGTCAGGATCATTACATCCGAGAGCTTCTTCACAGACTGAATCAGGGCTCCCACGATAGTCTTCAAGCCTGCAAAGAGAAAAGATTCTTATTATGATGTTAAACAGATACTAAACACACTAAAAAATCATGTGATTTCTCCTGACAAGATAAAAATTTCATGCAAAATGACAACTAAATGAGTCTAATATTTGTGACACAATAATTTTCATGAAAAGCCTTATTACTCGTGAAGATGAATGAAAAGCTGTAAGTTTATGCTTATTTTATAGTGTACAGAAATAAAAAATAGATAATACCAAACACACTGGTTATGCCAAAACAAGTGATTTTTGTTATTCATGCTGTATCTCAACCCTACACAGAAAAGCATTGTTTGCTTTTGCTGATGCTTCTTGCCCAAACCTTTCTTATATGAACCTTTTGAAAAGCATTCTGCATCAGTAAACCCATTATAAAGACACTTCAAGTTCACAGCTGAATGATATCATAATAATCTTCTTACAATATAAGAGGGGTGATGGTTTGGAGAAGAAAGACATCTTTAAAACAATACCCCATGCACAGCCCATGCTATCCTTTAGAGTTTAATTTTTTGTACATGACTTCGAACTGATTTAAGTTGCTATATCAAGTGCCTGCAGTAAATGATAAAATTTGCATCAGTGTGAAAGCTTAAAATTAACTTATATTTAAAACATATAAAGGAAAGCTTGATGTCATAAGATGCAAACCACATAGGCTGCTTACTGCAAATATCTCATGCAAGAATTTGTTAAACTCAAAGGCTGATTTTTTTCAAAAATAAAAAATAACTAATATAAGAAAAGCAAGAATCAATTTAAATAAAATTACAGGTCTTGATTCCTGCTTTTTTATTTTGTTGACAACATGTACCAAACAAGGCTTATGCTTTAAAAATGTGAGTGCAGCCTTTGTAGAACAAAAGTCAGCCTCAGTGTTTAACCTAGCTCTCACCTGGAATGACTGATATTGTTTTCAAAGCTCGGAGAACTCTGAATGTTCTCAACGCTGAGACATTGCCCAGGTCCACAAACTCTGTCACATATCTGTAATAGGGGAGTTCACACACAAACACAATGACAGCACACAAATAACAGTTGGAGATACGAGGGGCCTAACACCTTACACCAACTACTTCTTACCTGGGATTACAGAAATAGTTTTCAAAGCTCTCAATACTCTGAAAGTTCGAAGAGCTGAAACATTGCCTAGGTTTACAAATTCTGTTACATACCTGTAGGATTAAATCACAGTTACTCAGAATTGAGGCAGAGCTTATCCTATTTGCTTGGGTCTTTCATCAAGACCTCTTCACCGTTCACTGTATTTTGGCTGTGTTATAAATATGCTTCTGATCATAAAATTAAACTAAGTTTCATCAAAATAAGCTACACGGGCTTGATGTTTGAAACCCAATCTGATCAGCTTATGGCAGGAAGTCAAAAGGATTCCTTTACTTCTGGTACGCAGAAAGGAGAGAGGATGTGAACAGTTCAGGCTGATGGCATTCACAATCCTAGCGGGCTGGCACACCATGCTGGCCTCTGCAGCACATGCTTAGTTAGAAATACTAAAATGTGTAAAAGAAGTAGAAGAAACATATTGAAACCACAGGAAGTCCAGGCTCCAAATGTTCTGGCTGACAAAATACGAGGCAATTTTTAGTCACTAATTTAATGCTATCAAGACTTTTTTTTTTGCTTAAAAAAAAAAATAAAGTAAAAGACTTACGCAAATGTAATGACAGTGAAATCTAGCCAATTCCATGGATCTCGAAGAAATGTAAAATCTTCTAAACAGAAGCCCCTTGCAAGAATTTTAATAAGTGATTCAAAGGTATAAATTCCGGTGAATGTGTATCTGAGGAAAATATGCAAGACAGTTCACAGGAACACGCGTTATGTTTACACATTATGCTCTCAAGTTGCTTTATTCTAATTTTCTGCCCTATAGGTGACATAAGAATTTAATGGAAGTTGCAACCAACTTTAAACATCTGCAGAAATTGTACTAGAATGAAGGAGGAATCAAATTATGATTAAAAGACTAAATGACAACCCATAGCTTAAGTTCAAGTTCTATAATCTATACCAATGAGACAGTTGCAAAATTCCCAGTTACTTCATTGGTTCGTATTTACGTCCAAACTGAATCCAAGTTATAACAAAACGCCCAGATGGAATGTGTTAGGATTTCAGAAGCTGCTTCCAGACTAAAAATTCTAAAAATTTCTTTAATTTGTTTTCATGCTGAAATATTGGCCAGTACCATGACGTGGCAATGTGCCAACCATCATCACTTCTCATTGACTTTGTTAAAGAGTAGGTGTGTGCAGTACTTCACCTTCAGCAAGACAGACATAATATTGGAACGAAACAAGTGTTTTCAGATGCAAAATCCATTGCAAGAATAATCAAAAATATCTACAAATGCCAATAAAATGCAGCTACTCATTTTGACTAAAAAATGTGGTAGAAATGCAGAACGTAAAAATATTTAATTCTGCCATTCCAAGTGATTTCAATTTTCTATCTCCACATGATGCAATCTTAAAATTTAGTTTCATTTATATCTTTGTTGGAAAAGTATTCAAATTAAATGGCTTAAAAGGCTTGAACTGGTTTTCAGACTTCAGCCAACTTGAAGCCAATTTCCAATGTGAATTTTTTCAGTTCAAATACCAAAAAATTTCTTTCCTGCACAACTTTACTCAACAGACGAGAAGGACTTCTATTGCGTATCTAAATGGCACAATATAAAGACATGAAAAAATATTCAAGCTAGTTGTCTTTGCTCATAAATATTTACTGTATGCTAGACATCCTGAATGCATACATGTTCATACTGAACTCAAAACGAGAATGCCTCCACTGACTGAAATAGCCCTATGATTTCACTTTTGATTACTGAAGGTTAAACAGGTATGTATCATCCAAAGCAGTTAGAAATTAAGAAGCAGCAGAAGCATAAAATGCAACTGTAAAAATGAAGCACCATGAAGAGCCCTAACTATCACAAAATATCCACCAATTGCGTATATCGGCACCAAGTAGCTAACATCATATCGGACTTTTACTCTTCCTGTGGGAAGATTAGCCAACCACTGAACCACTTTATTAGTTTGGGGTTTTTTTTCCATACAGGCTTTTCATCGCTCAGACTGTTTCTGGTAAAGGAAAGTTGCACTACTGTGAACATAGCCATGCATTAGATGATCCCTTTATCCATAACAGTTACTGCAATAGAGATGGAAGAGTGTATTTCCCCACATTCTTGCACAGATGTAATACAGAACACAGCAGAAAATATTTACAATCCACTTTTTTGCATGGTCATAAGACTAGCTTCTCTTCTCACATTCCCCATCCAGTACTGCAAACAGGATGGACCTTGAACAACTTGTAATGAGACAAGTGTTGAAAAATATACGTAATATTACACAGAAAAAAATAGCACCAGAATAGCTGTTGAAAAGTAGCTGCTGCCAATAGATGCAATCCTAATACAAAATAATTTACAGCTGTTTATTTCCGATTACTGAATATTACTCAAATAAAATCCATTTAACTTACTCTACATTCTTTGTCCAGTCTGGAGGGTTACTCATGGTCATAAATACACAGTTGGTCAAAATAGTGCACATGATAAGCATGCTGAATAATGTAAATTAAGAGTTAAGGAATGTAAGGCAGAAAATCTCATTAACAGAGTATCAAATAACATGCTGCTTTGGCAGCTTTCCACTATCAGGAGCTATTTATCTGTCCACTGCTCTGTTAATACTCAGGGAAAAGCCCTGAATATGTTAAAGCTTCCTCCATCACTGCTTATCGCTAAAAGAGAACAGTCACATAGTACAAATTAAAAATTCCAAAAGACATTAAAAAAAAAACAACAACAAGATCCTGGATGATCTGAATAAAACTGTGAAAATTTGAAGTAGTAATTTCTAATTTAGTGGAATAACACAAAAAGCATTAGTTTTGGATGATCTAGACAAATCTGATCTACTTCATGCATACAAAACAGTGAAGAATACATTCTCACAACTTTTCTTATGTTTCACCATAAAATTTGGCATGTTTCAACATTTGTGTTTATCATTATAATACATATATTGAAAGCTAGTTATCACATAGTAGGAGAGAGCACAGGGAAATTTTAAGGAGATAGTATTTTATTACTCTTTGCTTTACATATGGCTTTTGTAATACTAATATTTGTGGAGGGGATGGCATATGATATTCTCAAAAAAAGAAATCTAAGAAGATTTCCAGAACAGGTCCAAGTCATAAATAATTTAACTGATTTTAACAGAACTGTTCTGGATCTACAGCCTTTGACTCTCAGGACTGAGAATACTCTTCTTAGAAATGAAAATACAAACACCGAAATGAAACCCACATAAAACGTCCACATGATGGCACCACCACCTAAAACTGTGAAGACGACAAAGCTCGATTCCGAGAAGAGCTTCTGTAACTAAAACGCAGGTTCACACGGTGCTCCTAAACAGAACTCCGAGTTTATGGGGGTGGGAAGTACTGTGAGGTTCCCCTCACGAAGTTTTCTTTGCGTGTGTACATTAAAGAAAAAAAAAATAAAAAACCCCATCAAGCAACAGTGAATACTTCTGCCTTCTGAACTGTCAACTGTGGCATTATGTTCAATGATTCTTCAGGTTTTGTGTTCAGTGAACATATTTCAAATCCTTCACTCATAATCTAGCTTCCCACTATGCAACTCGTATAGCAACAGAGCAGAAGAGAAAGGTAATTTCAAAAACAGACAAAATATCATAGGAGTGTTTCACAAGCCTGTATTTGACACAGACGTTCAAAACCTTTTTTGATTAAACGTCCTCTGAGTTGCACATCCTCACTATTCTTTTTCAGTGGAGAAATAACTAGCACATCCCCTCCCACAATTTTAAGCAATGTTTTTTAACATTCTGACTTCGCTCTAGCTCTTCACCATCTCAGTTCTATGTTCTTCCATTACTCCATGTAAATTAGTAGCACTCCATGACATGCTAAGAAACGTCACATAACTGACAAATAATTATTTACAGTGACACCTGCAGCAAGGAAATACACAGCAGGCTACGCAATGTCATGATTGATTCTGAAGTCACTTGCGGGCCAACCATTGATAACGACATCTAATATGTAACAACCGTTATAATTATCAGACTTAGACCAACATTGATGAAAATTGTTTTAGGTTTTATGCTACATGATCTTGGGATTCCTATATGTAATGCTACTACTACTTGCAGTTTGCTTATGTGAAACTCTTGTAAAATGCAATTGTGCAAACATTTGTAGTTGTTCTTTAAGTAAGCAGACTTGCAGAAGTTAACTCCCTCCTTGCTCAAATCAGCATTTGGCATCAGAGCAACTATTAATACACTGGAAAAGACAAGTAGATAAGCCATTATGATCATTGAGCTTTGCAAATTTCTACTTGCAATGTGGAAATCTCACAACCTACTTGAAGCCTGAATTTAAAACATCTACATGACTACAAGTGCGTAATGCAGTAGCGATCAAGAAACAAAATACAGGTGAGGCATGTATAGGACTGAGAATGTGTAATTAAACAAGAAACCTAAACTGTTCTATCAACCTATCCTTCTGCAACTGTGATCTGAATCAGAAAAGGAATAACAAAACTGTATTTTCACAAATTATTTGTGCAAGCACAAACCTGGGATCAAAGATTTGATTTTTAACACAAAGTGTCGGTACAGAACTAAAGTATTTTGAGCAATATATCTGCAGTTTATGAAAAATGTGGAGGAGGGGAAGAGATGAAAAAAGACATGATGATTGCAGGAATAATAAGAGAAAGGGGAACAAATTGGTGGGGGAAGAAAAGAAGACACAGGAAAAAATTGTAAAGCACGATGACTTGTTTGGCTTCTGATATTACTATATAAAGATCCAGTGATCTTAACAATGAACACAAATGTAGAAAGGGAATAAGAAAAAGACCAGAAGACACACGGCAAAGAGAAGAAGGACAAAACACAATAGTTCATATTGATCCTGGGACATGTGTCAGAGAATGATTAAAAGACTAAGTAACATCTCATTCACTACGGCTTTAGACAAACCACTTGAAAAGGATATGAATGTACCAAAATCTTAATA